ATTACAGGTGTGAGCCACCAGTGCACGGCATCTGTAAGATTCTTAACTCCAATAAACTACTTAGAAAAAGTCAGAAGTGGGGCCGGGAAGGTGGCTCAGTGGTAGAGCGCTTGCCTTGTATGCATGAGGCCCTGGGTTCGATTCCTCAGCACCACATAAGCAAAAAAGAAAAAAAAAAGCCAGAAGTGGCACTGTGGCTCAAGTGGTAGAGCGCTAGCCTTGAGCTGAAGAGCTGAGGGACAGCGTCCAGGCCCAGAGTTCAGGCCCCACAACTGGACCCAAAAAAAAGAAAAAGTCAGAAGTGGCTCTGTGGCTCAAGCAATAGAGTGCTAGCCTTGAGCAAAAGAAGCACAGGGGGGCTGGGAAGGTGGCTCAGCGGTAGAGTGCTTGCCTCACATGCATGAGGCCCTGGGCTCGATTCCTCAGCACCACATAAGCAGAAAAAACTGGAAGTGATGCTGTGACTCATATGGTAGAGCGCTAGCCTTGAGCTAAAGAGTTGGGACAGTGCCCAGGTCCAGAGTTTAAGCCCCACGACAGGCAAAAAAAAAAAAACGGAAAAAAAGAAACTCAAGGACAGCTCCCAATCCCCAAGTTCAAGTCCCAGGATTGTCCAAAAAAAAGGATCATTTGACTGATAGTTTTGGAACAGAAACTAATACAATCAGAACATCCAGAAAGTATAATCATGTAAGTCATTTAAGGATGTAAGAAAGAAAGGAAAAGAAAACTAGTCTACTTTTCACTGTTTCATCCATAACTTGGCTGCTGCTCAAGGCTGGTTGGTCTCAGTCCTTGAAGTGCTGAGTTTCCTCACCTCTAGATAGGCCGACAAGGTCATGTAGATCTTTTCTCCATAGGGCGTCACTCGGTTCAGAAGAAGGGAGTTATGCAGGGAGCTGTCCCATACTGCCTCAAAACGATAGAAGGTCCTGAAGTCAGGAAGACAAGAAAGAGTTAGTCATTCAGGGCTGGGAATGTGGCTCAGTGGTAGAGTGCTTGCCTAGCATGCATAAAGCCCTGGGTTCCATTCCTCAGTACCACATACACAGAAAAAGCCAGAAGCGGCACTGTGGCTCAAGCGGTAGAGTGCTAGCCTTGAGCACAGAGAATCTGGTCATAGACAGTGCGTAGGCCCTGAGTTCAAGCCCCAGGACTGGCAAAAGAAAAAAAGAAAAAAAAAAAAAGAAGAATCTGGCATTCCCTTACTCCATGCATTGCTGCTCTCAGGGATCTAGAGCCTCCTAGGCCAACACCAACATTCTACCCGTCACAGTGTAACACCAGAGGAGCCTCATCTCCCAGGGGAAAGCGGAGGCACCATCCACTCGCCACACTCATCACCAAGAGGCATGCACTGGCTGCGGTCTTTTTTCCTTTTTCTTTTTAAACAAGCCTCTATGAACATTAAAAGAGTGAGAAGAACAAGTGTGGACACCATCTAAAGGAAAGGGAAAGACCAGGTAAGCTGCGATGTCTGTCAATTACGAATGCCAGAAACCGATGCCCAGTCATTTGCAAGCTTCACTCTTCCCATCATCAGAGACTTAAATCTCACAAAGAAATATGGTTGGAACAGATAGAATTGAAGTATTTAGAGTCTTGTTTTGAATGAAAGAACAAAAGCTGGTATTTCAGTAAAAGAGAATGATTTTTCTTTTTCTTTTTCTTTTTTTGTCAGTTGTAGGGCTTGAACTCTGGGCGCTGTCCCTTAGCTCTTCAGCTCAAGGGAAATGTTCTACCACTTGAGCCACAGTGCCACTTCTGGTTTTCTGGTGGTTCATTGGACATAAGAGTCTTCTGGACTTTCCTGCTGGGGCTGGCTTTGAACTGTGATCCTCAGACCTCAGCCTCCTGAGTAGCTCGGATTATAGGTATGAGCCACCAGACTGGCTGAGAATGACTTTTTAACACCAGAGTCAGCCAACTACCTACCATACACTACTTTTTACCAGAGCCATTTGAAAATCAATCTTGTATTTAAGAAGCAGCTAAATTTAGTATATATCCACAAACTGTTTTTCTTCACTGGCAAAACACCACAGGCCAAGTGTGCTGTGAAACTGCGGTGGGTGGCGGAGTCACAGTTCCACTCCAAGCTCTGCCTGTGCGTCCCTTCTCAGAACCCTAGCAGGGACATCGCCCACCCCACCATCATAGCTCTCCACAGGCAGAACACAGCTCGCCTGACTCACCAGGGAGGAGTGTTTGTAGCACCCCCTTTCCTGCCCATTACATTCCTCCTTATTCTTCCCAAATGATGTTTCCTTTTCCAGATTTCCAATGGTAATTAGCAGTTATATTCTCTCTCTCATATTTCTTCCTCTGGAAAGGGGCAGAGAAAGCTGTGTGTGTGTGTGTGTGTGTGTATGTGTGTGTGTGTGTGTGTGTGCATGCGCATGTGCATGTGCATGTGCTTGCTGGTTGGCACTGGGGCTTGCTTGCATTCTCGCTTGACCTTTTCAATCATGGCTGGTGCGCTATCACTTCAGCCATGCTTCCATTTCATTAGACTGGAGCTGAGCCTTGTGGATTCATCTACCTGCGCTGGCTGAACTGTGATCCTCAGATCTCACCCTCCTAGTGGCTAGATTATAGGCGTGAGCCACCTGTGTCCAGGCAAAAGTGGCTTTGATTGAAAGGTCATTGTAAGATAACACAAGACTGGGCTGAGAGGCTGGGAAGGTGGCTCAGTGGTAGAGTGCTTGCGTTGCACGCATGAAACCCTGGGTTCCATTCCTCAGCACCACCTAAACAGAAAAAGCCAGAAATGATGCTGTGGTTCAAGTGGTAGAGTGCTAGCCTTGAGCTGAAGAGCTGAGGTACATGCCCAGGCCTAGAGTTCAAGCCCCAAGACCGACAACCACAACAACCAAAAAAAACAAACCAAAACAAAACAAAACCAGAGACTAGGCTGAACAATGTTACTAAAGCAAGCTGCAGGAGAATGCAGGGTTACAAATAGGTTTAAGGTAACTGTTTAAAGTATGTACTCATTTCAATTTATTCATTTTGAACAATTTTAAAACCAACTTCTTACATGGTGGCCACCTGGTACAGCTTTTTGCTTTTTCAGTGCTGGGAATGGAACCACACCCTAAGCTGTGCATTCTACCACTGAGCCCCACACCTCCTTCATGAGTCCTCTTGAGTTCACTAGAAGAACCTCTGAAATGTGATCTGGATAGTGTGCAAACTTAGAGATAAATTCCTTATGTCTATAACATAGCTAGGCACTGGTGGCTCATGCCGGTAATCCTAGCTACTCAGGAGGCTAAGATCTGAAGATCACAGTTCAAAGCTAGCCCAGGCAGGAAAGTTCATGTGATTCTTATCTCCAGTGAACCACCAGAAAACCAGAAGTGGTGCTGTGGCTCAAAGTGGTAGAGTGCTAACCTTGAGTGAAAGAGCTCAGGGACAGCACACAGTCCCAGAGTTCAAGCCTCATGACCAAAAAAAAAAAAAAAAAGCCAACGTAGATATAACATTTCAGGATATATTGTCTGTCATATTTTGACAGGCAAAAATCCTTCCATTTTCTTCCCTAAATTAGAGAAAGATGGGAAAGGCCAGATATGATGGCTCATGTCTATGATTCAGCTATTCTGGAGGCAAAGATTGAGAGGATAGTGATTCACTGTGGTTGAGGCCAATCCAGGAAAAAAGTTAGGAAGACCTCATTTCAACAAAATAACCTGGATATGGTAGCACACACCTGTCATCCCAGTCATGAAGGAAGCTTGAGAAGGAAGATAACTGTCCAAGCTCAGACTGGGACAAAACCTGAGACTCTATCTGAAAAAAATTATCTAATGCAAAAATGACTGGAAGTGTGGATCAAGTGACAGTGTGCTTACCTAACAAGGGCAAGACCCTGAGTTCATGCCCCAGTACTACCAACCCCCAAAACTAAAACAAAAGAACAACAAAAATACAAGACAAACAAAGGATGAGACAAGCACACATTACGGGAAAAAGAAATGTTTAAAACTATATGAAAACACTTCTTCTTACAAATGCAGCTACCCAAATAGCTACACTTTTCTCTACTAAGGCATAGGACAATAAAACAAAACACAACCCAAAACAAAGAAGAAAGCAAACAGGGATTTGCAAGGCTACATCACAACAAATCTTATAAGCTTTGAAGAGAAAGGGCAGACAAAAAATAGAAAGCAGCTGGGCATCAGTGGCTTACATCTATAATCCTAGCACCTCAGTAGGCTGAGATCTGAGAATCGGTTTGAAGCCAGCCAAAGCAGACAAATTTGAGAGACTCCTATATCAAATTAATCAGCCAGAGTCAAGGTGTTACTCAAGTGGTAGAGCACTACCCTCCCGCAGAAAAGCTGGAGGCAAGAAGTAGACAGCAAGAAGTCCTGAGTTGAAGCCCCAGTACTGACATTAAGAAAACAAGTGCTGGGCACGTGGCTTATGCCTTCAATCCTAGCTATTCAGGAGGCTGAAATCTGAGGATTGAGTTTTGAAGCCAGCCCAGACAGGCTGGAGACTACCAGAAAACCAAAAGTGGAGCTCTGGTTCAAAGTGGCAGAGTACTAGCCTTGAACAAAAAAGCTTTGGGGGCTGGGAAGGTGGCTCAGTGGTAGAGTGCTTGCCTTGCATGCATGAGGCCCTGGGTTCGATTCCTCAGCACCA